TGCCAGTGGCTTATGGGCTGCGAGCACACGGTACCGGCTCCCAAACAGCTTTTCATCACCAGCACCTCAAGTCCTTCTCTGCAGGGCTGCTCTCCAGCCTTTCAACCTCCAGGCTATGTTGATATCAGAGGTTGCTCCAACCCAGATGCAGGACCTTGTACTTGGCCTTGTTGAAGCCCATGAGGTTCACAGAAGCCCACTTCTCAGCAGCTCTGTAGCTGGTCACAAGTGTGACTTTGTTCAGCTGCTGGTGGGCATCAGCTGTTTGTGTGTAAAGCCAAGCATCTTTGGGACCCCAGCACCAACCAGAAGGAGTCACTGGTGATATGTGCCTGTATCCCAGCAGCACTCCACTCTGGGGAGGAATTTACACCCACATTCCTTAAAAGACCTTTGCTGGTTTTCAAACAGTGACAGGTTTAACATAAACTGTTGAAGTCGGGACCTCTGATACGTTTTAGAAGCAGAAACACAGCAGAGTGTTCCCAAAGAGCACATTTAAGAAAAAACACAGGTAGGTTCTAACAAAGTAATTTGGCAAGTTGTGATTTTAACCCAACTGGCAGAATTTATGTGCTAAACCTCTGCTGTTGGTAGTTCTCTCTATATATCATGAAATTTTTGAACACTTGGGAAATACCTTGGCTAAATTTATATTCCTTACTGCTAATTATTTTTAAAGCCAGGGGCTCCATCTCTTTCTGACTTTCTAACCTTTGTACTATCATATCCATTTTATTAAATAATCCTTTCTTCTCCAGATCTCTTTTCTGCTAGGATCCAGAGCAGATTCCTGGCTGGCAGAGGGATAGTTGTGACTCTTGGCAATCTCTTCCCTGTGAAGGGACCATCCTGTCCTCTGTCCTGTGAGAGGGGCAGGAAGAACATGGAGCCATCCCTTTCAAAGATCAAAACTCTGGGAAAGATGGTGAGAGGAGGAATTTCTTTTTTGATTTGGGTAAGCGACTGAATTGAGACAAATCTCTTGAGGTTCACCCATTTGCTAGTGAAAACTTGTTAACTTCAGATGTCAAAGTACAAAACTCTCACTTCATTTTTCTTCTTACTTTAGTAAGCTGACACTTACTCACCTCTACCCTAAAGCCAGGAAAGCATTCCCTGGGATTTTGCTGATTTAAATATTTAAAAGCTTTTGAAGAGAGAAAAGAGGGAAGGAGGGGAAAAAAAAAAAAAAAAAAAAAAAAAAAAAAAGCTGAGTATGCACATAGAGCATTTTAATGAGGTTGCTTCTAAGCTGATACTCCACACATTTGCAGAGCAGGCAAGTGAATAACCTTCACATTTGAAAAAATTGCTTTTTAACCTACCTTAACTCTCTTCTACTCTGTGTATTTCACTGGACACACACACATCCCTAAAAAGACTTTCAAACCAAAATGAAGAGGGACACATTTTTCAACCTTGAAGAGAATCTGCATCAGAAAGATTCTTTTTATGGACTTGAAAGAGCTCCACACATGAATACTAGCTTGTTTTCACATAGTAATGATAGCAGATTTGCAGAGACCTTTCCAAAGTGAAGAGTAAAAGGGCGTTAGAACTTTCAGCTGTCATCAAGGTGATATAAATTTTCTGAACCTGGGCAGCAATGAATCACAGAATCACAGACTGTTAGGGGTTGGAAGGGACCTCCAGAGACCATCAAGTCCAACCCCCCTGCCAGAGCAGGACCATCTATGATTCCATTTATCAGCTGCTTCAACAGATTTTTCAATCCCTGTTGTGTTGAACCACTTGCTAACAGAGACAGGCCAACAAACTTCAAAACAGGCCACAGAAACATAGGAGGAGCAACAAACAACACACTTACTTAAAGAGTTCGTTCCTCATTATAGCTCTGTTTGTTTGGGGGTCAATCGCGTAGACCATGAGGTCGGACTTGGTGTAGTCCTCTTCAGAGTAGCCATCCCCAAACCTCCGCGCACCGATGGATTCCACCACAACCGTCGCACCGGGAATCTGATCTTGGACGTAGCGTTCCAAAATCCTGAAGATGAGATGGAGTCAGAAAGACACAGTGATTTATTCATGCTGATTGAGACATATGGCAGCCCAAATGAGATAGTAATAGACACGAACCACAAGCTTAGAAGGATGGCAACCTTCAGAGAACTTTTAAAAAAATCTCTGCTCTAATATAACCTTTTCAGTGCTGAATTCCTGGGAAAAGCTTAGTAGCATTAGAAGAGGTCATCAGAAATAGTGTCCTTAAGTCTAGCTCTTTGTATTTATGACATCAGTTGAGGTTTAAATGGCTCGTGGGAAATACCATCTATATTTCACAAAAAAAACCCCCTGTCATCCTTTTATTAAGCTTATACAATTTCAGAACGCTTGAATTCCAGGCTTACACAAGGTGCATACAATAAATTTTCACCCACAGAAACAACCATTTCAACCATTTTTTGGTGGGATATTTCATCTGACCCTCCAATATATCAGGTGCCAGAACACCTGCTACTCCAAAAGGCATGAGTAAGTTTTACAGCCATAAGTAATTTGGAATATTGAGCTGACACACTTCCCACAGGAAAAAAAGAAAATAAGCTGCAGAAGTTCTATATGCCTGAGATAACAAGGGTGTAACAATGACAAACCAAAACAAATCTCTTCTCTTTCCAAAAAGAAGGATTTGTTACAAGCTGCCTGAGCACTAAGCTGCACACTCTGCAGAGATGTCTACAAGTCACAATATGTCAACACATGAGAAAAATGCAACTCTGGAGGATTAAAACGTATTAGAGAAGATGATTGATTTATTAGAGAAGATTTACCAGTCAATTTATCAATTCTTGACATGTGACCAGTTTTCTTTATTACCGAACTTTTCTGGAAGACTTTGTTCTAGATTCAAAAATCTCCTGGTTTTGTACAGATTTCTATGCAGAACTGTTTATGGGAGAAGTCTTAAAATGTGACAAAAGCACCAAATTTATGGGGAAAGGACCTCAGTGAGCAACTGAAAACCAGCTCAGCTGGATGACCTTCAAATCCAGTATGTAACAGGTAGAACAGGTACTCCCATCAAGACCATAGGTGGGGCTGGCAGCCAAGATGGTGGGGATCCCCCCTTGCAAGAATGGATGTAGACAGGAGAATGGAAAGCTGTTCAGACACCATCATCAGAAGAGCTTTAACCATGGCTGTTGGGCAAGGACAGAACACATCTCAGAGGGAACAGCAGGAGATTTGCTAACAGTGTGCTGAGCTTTCCAAGCTGGGACTGAGGAGGGCTCAGTTAAAGCCCACAGAGAGTTTTAAAACAAAAGCCTATAAGCAAATACTATCAATACTGAATACAAGGGCAAAGAAGGAAAGATGAGTTGAAAGTCTAAACTCTCCATCAGAACCAAACTATGGGGAAATACAAGATTTTTCTGGGCTAATTCATGTGATTAGAATATCGAATCAAAAAGCAATAACTGAGTTAGGAGGCAAAAGCAAGGGAAGGTGAAAGAACATGCTGCCTGATTTACCAAGGATGCACCACGCTGTGAAGGACAACAAATCTCACTGAAAAGGACATCAATAACTAAGAAGTCACTTGTTTTAACCAAAATTTTTGCAGTTGCTGAGGTTACATTTTGCTGCTGTTTTTTCCTGACACAAGATTTCCAAAGTCATGGATAATGCTGTCAAAGCAGTATCACCATCTCGTAATTTGTCAAGACTACTGATGCACATTTATCTGTCCAGTTTATCTGTTTTTTTTGGTGCAAGTTTAGCATGCCCTTAAAATAGAAGCTCTTCTGTAAGATTTTGAAAAATCCCAGCCTGTCAGGCCCAGGTCCTAGCCTAGCAGTGAATATATACTCTCAGCCCAGAGCTGTTTGTGTAGG